TTCTCATTAACGCTTGGATCTTATCAATGCTTGGATCTTATCAATGCTTGAATCTTATCAAAGCTTTTTCATCAGTGTTTGAATCTTATCAGGGCTTGGATCTTATTAATGCTTTTCATTGACACTTAGATCTTTATCTACGCTTCTCATCATCTGCGTGACTACGAACTTTCTCTTGAGGATTAAACGCATCTGTTGGATTAATTGGACTTAGGATTGAAGAACATCAAGGACATTGGGGCGGGATAAATAAATTTTGAGCCTTATATCTTTTGTTTCTTAAACCATGAACCATGGCCACGTTACAACCTTTAAAAGTCCTAATTGAGGCCAGGTTCACTATGAAAGCATACTCAGCAAGATTTGTGTTAAACTGACTCCTATGTTTGTTAAAATTATTCTAACTACTTCTCTTCTTCGAATATTCATCTTCTAACCTTCCATTTATTTTCAAATAATCAATTTTGATTTCAAGAACTTGCATGTGCATCAAACGGAATTACTTTTTCAAAATGTACAATTTTGTCTATGAATCAATACTTAGCATGATATCAAATTTGGTTTGACCAAAAGTCATCCTTCCCAAGAAACTCCTAACTAGGGGAAAAGCATCTAAGAGGATCCCTATATACGAGGGCAAATACTAATGATCATAGAGTATATCGCATACTATTAATAAGGGGTGATCATTCTAAGGTTCAATCAACTTAGATCAAATTTCAAAGAACTGTTCAACAAGGGGCATACCTTTCGAAGAAACATGCATGCCACGACAGGACATGACTCGGTTTCCTCATTTTAAAAAACCTCTCAAGGCCTGGAAGCAAGGGCAACCTTCCAAGATTCAAATGTTGGTGCAATACATACCAAGTTCATCCTACTGCACATAGGGTCTGAATTCTTCAAGCAACTTCGAGTACAAATCTTTTCAAGCTTCGAATATTTGGGGAAACCTATGTTGAATTCATGGTGAAGTCTAAAGATCTTTCTGAGGGTATTTCCTCCCGGTCCTGGATATTGAGGGGCACATATTTTCAAAATTTGAATGTTGGGGAAAACTATTACGAGGCTCGATCAAAAGGAGTTGATTTAAGATGGTTCTATCAAAGCCAAGCATTTTTAAGAATCTGTTAATCAGGGGCATAATGAAAAATAGTGGGGTCATCCAAATTATGATCAAAATGTTTCCAAGCTCATATTAAAGAGAATCTCCTCCAAGACCCTACCCACAAATTAAAAAAGAAACAGTCCACACAGGGGCAAGCTCTATGCACATTTTCACAACCTCTAATGGGTCTTTCTTCTACATCATCAGTCTTCAAATTTAAATCGAGTATCGGGGAATCATGCAAGCACAACACTATACCATCATGTGACAAGAAACATTGTTGCATAACCAAACATCTACGCTTTAATCATCCACGACCCATCACGGGGGCACCATTCAAAAAAGAATTCAAGTCATAATCATAAAGCATAAGGTTGCATAAATCATGCATTAGGGCTTTTCGATGCAAAACCAGGCTATACTTATCATCTCATCCATCTGACGAAATTCGATAGCATGGGTCGAGCATACCATAAAAGGCCCAATTACGCATTCGCATTTCAAAATCCAAAATCCATTCACACATTATCCAAGTCATTCATCACATGCATTAATCAATCTTCACATCACATTAATAAATCAACCATTACACATCATACATCGCATATGGCCTTCCTCGAAACCCAATATGAACAAAGTTGGTATCTTCGGGCCCTCCAATAAATTCTTACCTCGGTTAGAAACAAATAACCATCAAAATCCGTTCTCATTTCAGTTTTAGTTAAATAAGATATGGATCACTCAAAACAACTTCCTTTATATTCTACATATTGCGTCAGTCTCCATGCAGCGATATGTTATTCCTTTGTGATCTAGATCATTGTGTCAGACTCCAAGCAGCAACATTGTGAAAGCCGCAATTCCACCCATTGTGTCAGCCTCTATGCAACAATGTCTGAAAATTTCAAATTAACTTATTATGTCAGTCTCCATGCAGCAATGTGTTTCTTTCTTAGCTCACTGTGTCAGATCCCATGCAGCAATGTTGCAAAGTTGACAATTCCACCCGTTGTGTCAGTCTATATGTAACAACGTGTGAATTTTCTACATATGACTTATTGTGTCAGCCTCCATGCAGCAATATGTTATTCCTTGGCGATCTAGCTCATTGTGTCAGACTCCAGGCATCAATGTTGTGAAATCAGCAATTCCACTCATTATGTCAGTATCTATGCGACAATGTGTAAAATTTTCTATGTTTAACTTATCGTGTCAATCTCTATGCAACAATATGTTCTTTCTTCGCGATCTAGCTCATTCTGTCAGACTCTAGGCAACAATGTTACGAAAGCAACAATTCCACCCATTGTGTCAGCCTCTATGCAACAATGTCTAAAATTTTAAAATTAACTTATTGTGTCAATCTCCATGCATCAATGTGTTTCTTTCTTAGCTCGTTGTGTCAGACCCCAGGAAATAATGTTGCGAAGTTGACAATTCCACCCATTGTGTCAGTCTCTGTACAACAATGTGTGAATTTTCTACATATAACTTATTGTGTCAGCCTCCATGCAGCGATATGTTTTTCCTTTGCGATCTAGCTCATTGTGTCAGACTCCAGGAAGTAATGTTACGAAATCAGCAATTTCACTCATTGTGTCAGTCTCTATGCGACATGTGTGAAATTTTCTATATCTAACTTATTGTGTCAGTCTCCATACAATAATATGTTCTTTCTTCGTGATCTAGCTCATTGTGTCAGACTTCAGGCAACAATGTTGCGAAATCAGCAATTCCACTCATTGTGTCAGTCTTTATACAACAATGTGTGAAATTTTCTAGATTTAGCTTTTTGTGTCAGTCTCCATGCAACAATATGTTCTTTCTTCATGATCCAGCTCATTGTGTCAGACTCCAGGAAACAATTTTGCGAAATCAGAAATTCCACTCATTGTATCAGTCTCTATGCAACAATGTGTGAAATTTTCTATATTTAATTTATTGTATCAGTCTCCACGGATTTGTGTATTCCTTCCTCTGTGAAATAGTTCATTGTGTCAGCCTCCATGCAGCAATGTACGGAATCTGCAGTTTAACCCATTGCATCAGTCTCCATGCATCAACGTGTTTCCCTATCTGCAATATAATCCATTACATAAGTCTCTATGCAGCGATGTCATTATCAAATTCCTTCCATTGTGTTGGTCTCCATGCAACAATGCTTTTACAAGATTTTTTCTACTGCATCAATCTCCATGACACAATATTTTTATTAAGCTTTTTCCACAGTATAATCCATTGCGTCAATCTCCAGGCAGCAATGTCACCATCAGATTTTCTTCCTCGACATAACTCATTGCATCAGTCTCAATGCAGCAATGTTTGTTATCATTTTTCCTGCAATATAACTCTTTGCATCAGTCTCCATGCAACATTGCATCAGCCAACTTTGTTTTATCCATCCGCTAGGTTGCGATGAATAAACAAAATCAAGTCAAAACTTACTATATTAGTCTCCTAGCATTAGTAGGTCAACCTTTCAAAACTTGTATCGTTTACCTCCTAGGTTATGGTAAATAAGCAAAATCTTACAATCTCTAAGAAATCAACGAGTTATCTGCATCGTCGAGTCTTAATTTTAATCAACTTTGGTCCAAACGCTGGTAGGTTGATACATCATCACCTATGCCTATTCTTCACACTCATGGGAGCATTGTACAGTGTATCCTTATAATCTCTTGGAAAAATCTTGGGGTTTTCCAATATTTAATAAAATTTTGATTAAACGTGCGAGACATGCGTATTCTCGCACTATTCAATCGATAGTTAATTGAATAGGAGTAGCTGTCATACCCCAAATTTTCCCTACCCCTTATACTATAGTTTTCTTTTTAAATAGATCACATTGTATAATCTTTATTTCTAAGGGGGTGTAATATATCAGAGAGGGGTGAATAAGAGAATTTTGTTTTGGGTTAAAGGGCCCAAATAGACTAGTACAATGGTCCAATTCAGTTTTTGAATTTATTTTGAAAAAAATGTTTTGTTAATAACATTATAATTATCATTATTATTACTATCATTTTATTATAATAACTATTAATGATTGTACTAGTTTTAAAAAAAAAACATTAACTTAATAAATTTAATTAAGAAATTGATTTCTGTTTTATTTATTCAAAAAGAGGTGCTGATAAAAGGTCTTCTTCTTTCAAAACCCAAATCCTAATCAAAATGTTTTGTTTGAAGACCAAAATAAAACAGGCCCAGTTCAAACAAAAAACCCTTAGGCCCGTTTCAGTTTCTATTTAGTTAATTATTTTGTTTTATTTAAGAGAAAAACATTTGGTTAAAAATGAACCACCCAGGCCCATTTCACCCAGCCCAAAGTCAACCCAAATTCAATCAGTCCAAAACAAATGATTTTGTATGGCCCATAACCAAACAAACAACTACTGTGCAAAATGGAGATAGAATAACGCACGCCTTTAACTAGTATCGTTCAAAACAAATCCTTCTTTTTTGGTGTTTGCATACAGAATAAGATCAATATATTAACACTAATAAAAATCGAATCCTAAACAATCAATACAAAATTAACACTATTACACATAATCAAATTGCAATCAAAGCAATTTTTTTAATCCCTAAATAACAATCTCATTAAAATACTTCCTAAAATCTACTAAACAATAAACAAAATTAAGTTATTTCCTAAAGAACCTAATCCTTGGAGCTATAAAACCAAAATTGTTAGTACTTCGTCAAAGGAGATAACTGAGCCACCTTATTCACAAAGTAACCCAAGATTAAAATAATTGTGATACACCTACTCTTATCTCTCTTTCTTACTAACCAGTAAAAAATTGGAATTGGTTGTGTTATTGTCTTTGTTTTTTGCAGAGAAGATAGAAGGAGAAGAAAAACAACAATAGAGTCCAAGTTTTCTTTCTCAATTTATGAATTTCTGAACCTTGTTTTCAAGGTAGAAAAGAAATGAGGAGAAGGAAATCGCAATTGTGCTGAAAAGTTTACAAGCCTCCATGAAGCATTGAATCCTCCGGTCTCTCCTCCAAAACCTGTCACCCTTTTTTTTACCATTTGAATTTTTTTTTTGAAGGAAGAGGAAAAGGGCAACCATCAACGATGTAAGCAACATCGACATCGCCATAGACCACTGTTTACAACCTCCCAGATTAGAACTCGGATCCACTCCAACCCAGCTGCACGCACGACAAGCCCATTGTCCATCACCTCCATCACCATCGCGAGCCGCTGGTGAACCACCTATGGAACCTCCACGAACCGGTACCGCAATCAAATGCAAATATATGTTAAGCCGCTCCAAATTGCAAACATATACCACTACTCAAATTTACCGCCAGTCTCAAGTTTGTTTTCTTGCATTATTTATTGATTTTTATTCACATATGTGTTAGTTTGATGACTGAGTGGATGGAAGAAAAATCGGAAAAATAAATGGAAGGGAAAGAAGTAGACAAACAAAGGAAGAGAGATAAGGTCATTCTTATTTTTTCTGTTGGATTATCTCACCTGATATCATATTCCTCTTGTTATTATTTTATTTTATTTTTCTTTCTAGAAAAACAATCCACATGTCGAAATATTGTGGGTTAATAGCATTGTAAGTTGCTTTAAAAGGGGAGAACGTGTATCAGTAAATGAAAAAGTGGGACAACCATTTGTTTTAAAATTCTATCATGAATTTTTATTATTAACAATGTTTATCTTTTCAAAAAGAGAGAGAGGTATGGTCAGAGACATATAACAGGGCGCCTCCCATAATTGGCCGTGTTAGATTTTTTTTTTTTTTTTTAATTTCTATTTTGTTATTCTTCCTATTTGTTTTTATATAATATATGTAAATTACTAAATTAGTAATTTAGTTGATTTGGCTTATCCAATTTTATTTAATTAATTAGCAAGCATATAAAAAAGGTACTCTTATTTTATCTAAGTTAATTAGGAATACTTAGATATGATTGGTTATGTATGCTTTAACTTCTTTCGATTTAAAATTAAATTAATTCAATATTTACAAAAATATTAAAACTCATGCTATTCCAAATATTTCATCTGCGAGACACGTGGCCAATATCTGGCCACGTGATGAGAAAGTCTATATCAGACTCTCTTTGCATCCTTCATAACAAGCAGCACAGAGTCAATATCTGACCATGTGATGAAGAGACTATATCAGACTCCCCTCGCTCTACATTTTACAACAGCTAACCAACATCAAAAAAATTTTACTGACATAATCAAAATCCAAGGTCATTTTTTCAAAAAAAAAGATTAAATAAGATTGTCTTCGAATCAAACTACGAATTGCGTCTACAATCACTCAACTTACAACCCAGACAAGGTTCAAAGTAAATTCGAAAGCAATTTTATGCAATCTTATAAAAAACACCAACCAAACACCGTGAACTATGAATTGGGACTCTGATTCCTCCTAAGAGGATACGTAGGCATACAATCAAAATTGTGGCGAGTTTCCCTAAAAAATATTAAAATCCTTTCTCCCCTAATAAAACTTAAAACCATATTTTCTTAAAAATGCGCTTTTAAACCTTGTATCCTTGTGAACAAGGTAGATAAGGGGTGTCTAACACCTTCCTGTCGTCTAGATTCGAGTCCAAATCTAGAATCTCTAAACTATAGGGTTATTCCTTTATACTCCCTTCCATTAGGGTAAAAATTAAGGGTGGAGACTCTCTGATTTAAAAACCAGTTGCAACACATACCTTGCCTCATGATGTTGTTGAGTATCATTTATTTGCATTCTTGTTAAATCCCAAAGGGGAAAGCCCGGTGGTGAATTCTAAAAAGCCACAAGTTGTTGAGATTGTCGAAAGATGTCATGTGTTAGATGAAAGACTTAAAGCCATACAAGGAAAAGATGTTTATGGGCTGAACATTGTTGATATATGATTAGTTTTCCAGATGTGGTAATACCTCCAAAGTTCAAAATGTCTAAATTTGAGAAGTATAAAGGTCTCAACTGCCCAAGAAATCATTTGGTGATATTTTCCAAAAAATGAACTCCCATACTCATAATAATAAGCTGGTGATTCAGTTTTTTCAAGATAGATTGAATGGGGCTTCATTGAGTAGGTACATAAAGTTAGAAATGAGTCGTATTTAGTCATGAAATGACTCAGCTAGCGCCTTTTTGAAGAAATACGAGTAAAATTTGGATATGGCTCTCGATCGCGTGCAGTTGCAAAACTTATCTCAAAAGAGAAATGAATCCTACGAGTAATATGCACAACGGTGGAGTGAATTAACAGCCCAAGTGCAACCACGACTTTTAGAGAAAGAATTGGTTAACATGTTTATGGATACTGTTGTACCCCAAAATTTGCCCTCCCATATTCTCCAATAAACTGCCAAGCCAAGCTACAAAATTCCCCAAGAGTTGCACAATGCAAAGGCCTCCATACAGTCAAAACTAGGGTTTGTGTGTTGATCAAGAAAAGGAAGTGTTCAAAGGCTCAATCAAGTCTCATATGCTTACAAACATGGTCAAGCATCCTCATATCAAGTTTCAAGGCATTCAGCTCAAGATTGCACAGTCAAAACCCTAAATTGCACTACAGTCAACTGTAGGGGCAAAATGGTCATTTGGCAGTCAAAAGTTCAAATTTTTGGTCAACATATCATTTTGAAGCCACAAACATCATTTGATCAATGCTTGATCATGATTCTCAAAATTTGGCTCAGAAATCATCAAAGATGCAAAAGTTGCTATATTTGGACAGCTGAAAAAGTCAACTGAAATTGACCAGGGCATAACTTTCATATGGATTATCAGAAAAATTCCATCCAAAGCTCATTTTGAAGAGGAAGACATTTCCTACAACTCATCTTCATACTTCAAGTCCAAGAAATGCTCTCACAAAAAGTTATCAATTTCAACATTATAGGTCATTTTCAAAAGTCAACAAAAAGGGACTTTAAGTCAAAGACCATAACTTGAGATTGGTAAATCAAAATGACATGGGACCAAAGGCATTGGTTAGAGGACTCAAAGACCTTTCCAAAATGTCCAAGAACATGTGAAAAGCTTAAAAATTGAGCAAGTTATGCCTTGTAGAAGTTGGGAAATTTTTGTGAAATGGCAAAAGTCAACTATCTTTGAAAATCCAATTTTTGACAAAAGGGCCCCATTTTTTCCACTTGGTTCATCCTTGTCATGCCACACACGTGTCCCATGGTTAATTTCAAGACCAAATATTGACTTTTTTATTTTATTTAATTTTTGATGATTTAATTCATTTTAATTCTTTGAAAATTCAAATAAAATTTAAAAATCAATGAAATAGTGTCATATGAACTTGGACAATTTCTATGTATCATGAACCAACTCAAGAAATCAGGCTAGGGTTCATTTGCACACTAGGTCTAGGTTTTGGCTAAAAAGAAGGAAAATGGTTAATGGAAGAAACCCTAAGACCAATTCTTTCCCAAGCATGGATTAAGGTCAAATAGCAAGCCTATTCCATTCTATGATGATCACTGAGTCCAACCCTAACTAGAACATAGCAAAAGACTCGCTCAAAAGCCATTGGACATTTGGAAAATTTGGCCATATAATGAAAATCTGAAATCAGTGCTAGAGATCTTTTGAAGCCTCAATTTTTATACCATTAGCATCCTGGACCATCACTGAACGCATTTCAATTCATAACTTCAATCAAAACGCGAAGAAACGGTAGTTACCATCCAAACTGTACAGAAGAATTTTTGAAATCGTACTCTCCATTTTAAGCATCTTCTTTGCATTTCAATTGTACATTCTTGTTCCATGTGAAGTTTCTGAGCTAACCCTTGCATTTAATTTCATTTTTGTGCCATGAATAAGAACTTGCCATTTTCGAATCCTAGGGTTACAGTTTTTTTAATTTAGGGGTTTTCAGTCCAGGAACAATTAGCCCATGAAAGTCACACCATTGCATTCCTGGCATCTGGACGAAGAGAATGAGAGGCTCGCGCCTAATTTCTGATCACCACAGGCCTATTCGCTATTTCTTGGAAGGCTCCCTAACACTACGTTTCAAAACCGTTGCTTTATTTGTTTGTGTTACAGGGGACACGAGGAAGAAGAAGACGTGTCCACCAGCGATTTGTCCATTCAAAGTTCGCGCGCTTCAAGTCACTAGCGTGTTGCTTTTATTTTATATGATTTATTTGTTTATTATATAACGAATGAATTAACTAGCTCAGCTGGCCAAGACACGCGCATGTAACCTCAATGACCTGGGTTCAAACCCCAGGTCTCACACATTTCTCATATTGTTTTTTCATTTGAATTCCCATGCAGCGCTCACATTGATGCTCACCATACTCCATCAGGATTCAACCTCCACGTGTCCCAGGGCCTCAGATCCATGGCCAAGATGAAGAGTGCACCATACATCAAGTCAACAGGCGTGCACAGGATTAGAAAAGTCAACCAATTCAAGCAAAAATGGGCCAGGCTTTTTTAAATCTGCACCTCCAATTCTGGGAACCACACCTCCCTGGTTCTATCTTTTTTTCTTTTTTCTAATTTCTTTTATATTCTATTATTTTTAAATTTACTTGTGTTTTATTTTCTGATTTAATTAATTCTTACAAAAATATAAAAAAAACATTAAAAATACAGAAAGGACAAAAAAAATATAATTAATTTTGATTACTTTTATAAATAAATTAAAATGTAACTCATTTAGTTTAATTAGGTTTTAATTTTAATTTTAATTCTTTTTTCATAATAAAAATCCAAAAAAATGTAGAATTAGGTTAATTATTAATTTTTTATATCCTTTTTAATTTTTTTCCTTTTTTCTCACAATATTATTATTTATTATTTATTTTCTATAAATCAAAAATTGTACATAAATTAGTTTAGAATTTAATTAGGTTAGAAATTAAATCTTTTTTCATAATAAACTTAAAAAACATTAGGTTTAGCATTTTAATTTTAAATAATTTTTCTCTTTTTCTTTTAAACCTAAAAAACACAAAAACATTATTTTTCATTTAATTTTTAATTTTAGATTCCTTGGTTAATTTTAATAGTTTGTAAAAGGGTCCAACGCCCAAATTTTGTTTAATCTCTTTATTTCGCGCATCTATTTTATATTGTTTAAATACCTCTGTATATGCCCCAAAGCCATGTAATTTAAAACTCTCGAACTTTTATTTATTCGCTTTATTTTACTTTCAGTCAAATCGGGTTCGGTTTTTTTGGCGATGTGGACCCGCGCCAGTTGTAATAGTTTAGATTTATTTTCTCGCAAATATATAACTGTTAATAAATATGCATGAAAGAATGAATGCCCAAAAAATAAAATCGAATCGTTAGATCACCAGTACATGACAAGACAAACAATAAACTGAAAATGACACACAATTCGCACACACCACCCCTAGGGTACGCCTCACTGTTGCCTTTCGAAAGGTGATCATCGAGTAGAAAACGTCTTAGTAAGTCCTCATGGTCCGGGAACCTGGCATGAGGGTAGCTTCTAAGGTGTCTTCCCATTGCTCCGGTGA